TCCTCTTTGCATTCGGGAGCTTCTAGTTTCTGTTCAGCAAGGGAGGTAGTATTTTTGTTTTCCATGTTTCTCTATCGTTTATCGCTTCAATAAGGTAGAGTAAGACTCGTGGAAATGTAGATAAAGCTACAGCTTGCTTTGTTCTCTCACCGAGTTGTTTCCGTTGTGTCTAGCGAGAGGCGGCTGCTGAGGCTTTTATGTGGCGCGAGTTGGGTGTGCGCCCACTTTCCACCTCTTTCTGGACGCGGGACTATGGCACAATTGGCAACATCTTCATTCGAAATCTCGTGAAACTTCTAGTTCTCAAATTATTGCATTCAGTGAAACCTTGCGAAAAATGCCTAAATAGTAATTATTCATATAGATATTTACCATGAATGGTCATTATTTATATAGACACAAGAACACATACTCGCACTAACACACACACGCACGCACGCACATGCACACATATATATACTTTTAAATATAAAAATATATACATATATACACATGCACCCATATAGAGATATGCATGTATATGTAGATCTTGAATACAAATAAGCACATATATACGCACACACAAACACATAATGCGCACTTTTGACGAGAAACGCGAGCAAGCCATGGTTTGGTTTGGTTTGCTTCGCCTTGCCGAATTCGTCAAACACAGACCCAACTTCCAGCTTGCTACCAATGTAAACAAACGACCGCAATGCGAGATGGTGAGTGACAGAATTATTCGCAGAAGAGAACAGTGGATGCTGTTAGTAATGTTAGTGATATTACCAACGCAGAAATCATTTTTTGTCGTGGTTTTACATTTACTGAAGAAGATAAACGAATTTCAAAATATCTTATATATTGCGTAGCACAAAAGTTATGAAAAAAAAAATAATCGTCCACACACTTTATAGCAAATCTAAAAGGATAATATCTACCATTCATAACAAAGATGGGTCTTTCAACTGCGAGTTTATAATGGAAATAACATCGGTAAATACGGAAAGCCATAATACAGTTATAAATAGCTTGAATTTCTGGTAGATAAAACAACTTGCTAGCATATATTGGCGACAAAATAAGTAAATCATTACGAGAATTTCATCGTTGTCATTCATTTCCGTCGGTCACGTTGTCGGTTTGTTTACTGTTGTGACGTCATGAAAGTGTAGCAGAGGAAGTTTGAAAATGTTTGGTTACGAAACCAGACCAAGATATCTGACAAGGAGGTTTCGAGAATTGTCAAAATTCTTGAATTATCTTACGGTCAAAAATGCGCCTGAACACACACACACATTCTTTGTGTGTATTGGTGTGAGGACAATATAAGTGTACAGATATGTATATGTACAAACGCGCGCACGGAAACACACAAACACACATGTAAATTTAGAGATAGAAAGATGATTATAACATACCATATGTATGTGTGTATACATTTCAAGTACTTCCTACTTAGGTAACCATCTGTTATCAAAACATTTTCGCAAAAAGGGAAGGCAAGAAAAGTCGTATATGTAAACAAATACAATTTATTCATAAAATAACAAAATCATTATTTATTTTTATCATTATCAAAAATAACAATAAATAGCTCCTTAAACACATTGTCTTTAAGATTAGATTACAGTTCCAGTTAATGAAATATGTTTTCCTATGCTGCCTGTGGAATCTTCGGAGCCGTGACAGTCAACACGCCATCGGAAGACATTGCGGAAGTCACGGCCTCCATGTCCACTTTGCCTGGGAAGTTGAAACGTCGACAGAAGCTTTTCATGGACTTGAAGTCACCTTCTTCCTTTTCCACTCGACCTTCCACCACCACCTGATTATCTTCCACTCTGACCTTAACGTCTCCACTCTTGAAGTCATCAACATCTAGTACAACCTGTTTATAGAATCGAGTAGTGTTTATTTAGTTTTTGTCTTCCATTTTTATATTACTGAATATTCAAATACTCTGTTTGATTGACCTATATCGTTTTATTAAAGCTATTTTTCAATTTGAATATTTTTTTAAACAAACTTCTTTTATGTAAATAAATGTTTAAATCAGTGTGTTTGCGATCCACGTAAATTTTAGATTGTAGAACTAACCTTATGATTGTGGTCGTCTTCGCTGAAGGCCATGACTTGGTTCTCCTGCTGCAAATTGCGGTCTCTTACACGTCTGTAGCTACTCATCAGATCACTCACGGATTTGGCTTCTCCCCAAGTGTCCAGGATTTGGTCGATGGCTGTCTCAAAGTGCTTCCGAATATCCTCGAAGAAGGAATCGTGGAAGAAAAGTCCCTTCTCAGCGATTGGGAGAAGTGAATCCTCTTTGCATTCGGGAACTTCTGGTTTCTGTTCAGCAAGGGCGTTAGTATTTTTGCTTTCCATATTTCTCGTATATTGCTTCAGGAAGATTAGCTACGTCTCGTGATGTAGATAAAGCAAGAGCTTCCTTTCTTTTCTCAAAGAGCGTTATTTCTATTGTGTCTAGCGAGAGGCGGGCTGCTGAGGCTTTTATGTGGCGCGAGTTGGGTGTGCGCCCACTTCCACCTCCATCTGGACGGGATCATGGCATGCTTGGCAACATGAGTCGAAATCTCGTGAAACTTCTAGTTCTCAACTTAAGATGAATGGGTACGATACAATTATGCAACAAATGCTCTATTACTATTATTTATTTGCTTCATTACTGGTATATTTCATTATCTATAAGGGCATCTTTTACATTTAAAAACAACACAACAAATGTATACATAATATAAACACACACACACACACACACACACACACACACACACACACACACACACACACACACACACACACACACTTATATATATATTTCTAAATATACACAAATATTTTTTTCCTGTGTATAAGGACAATATATACATACTACGTATATGTACAAATAAACAGATAGAGTGATACCTATATATACATACATATATATATATATATATATATATATATATATATATATATATATATATATATATATATATATATATATATTGATAGATATACATGTATATATATATGTATGTTCATATTTATGAATATATGTATATATATGTATGTGTGTCTATATCTACACACACACACACACACACACACACACACACACACACACACACACACACACACACACACACACACACATATATATATATATATATATATATATATATATATATATATACATTTATGTAAATATATAACTGCTTTAAGGGATCACATATGCATACATATATATATATATATATATATATATATATATATATATATATATATATATATATATATATATATATATATATATATGTATGTATGTATGTATGTATATATATATATATATATATATATATATATATATATATATATATATATATATATATATATATGAGTGTGTGTACATATATATGGATATATATTTGTATATGTATACACACAGAAACACACATGCTTGATATATTCATATTGATGTGCATGTATTTATATGAACTTGTATATGTGTCTGTGCGTCTACATATATACATCTCTCTCTCTCTCTCTCTCTCTCTCTCTCTCTCTCTCTCTATATATATATATATATATATATATATATTATATATATATATATATACACATATATATGTATGTATATAATTATAAGCTTACGCATACATGTATGTTAATGTATATACTTATATGTATATATACGTGTATAAATATATATACATATACAGACAATGCCCAATGCGTACACAAAACACACAAACAGACATACACATATATGTGTGTGTTTATCTGTTTGTCAAATGTATTAATGGAATATATACATTTTAATTAATTTGTTGTTGTTAGATTCGCTAGCTATTTCATTGAAAAATAATTATGAGAGCACAGGTCATAGCAATCGGAAGTGAACCCTTCTTTCGAAGAGCCATCTATTATGAAAACTATGTTGCAATAAACAATAAATTGTGTTTTAATAAGTTGGCATAAAAAGGAAGGCAAACAAAAACTAATACTATAATATATATATACTTTAACATTATCCAAAATAACAATAATGAGTTAATCTCTTACATTATCTTAAAATTAGATTATAATTTCAGCAAATGAAATGTGTTTTTTTTAGGCTACTTGTGGTATTATCTATTTGGCCATCGTTTTCGAAGAACCATCAGCTATGCAATCTTTGCAACAGCTCGGTAGACCATTATTCATTTTCGCAAAAAGGGAAGGCAAGAAAAGTCGTATATGTAAACAAATACATTTATTCATAAAATAACAAAATCATTATTTATTTAACATTATCAAAAATAACAATAAATAGCTCCTTAAATTGTGTTTAAGATTAGATTACAGTTCCAGTTAATGAAATATGTTTTCCTATGCTGCCTGTGGAATCTTCGGAGCCGTGACAGTCAACACGCCATCGGAAGACATTGCGGAAGTCACAGCCTCCATGTCCACTTTGCCTGGGAAGTTGAAACGTCGACAGAAGCTTTTCATGGACTTGAAGTCACCTTCTTCCTTTTCCACACAACCTTCCACCACCACCTGATTATCTTCCACTCTGACCTTAACGTCTTCTTAACCAGCTGCCACTGGTCACAACAGTTGCAAATAGTGAATCATCTTTGTATTTCGTAAAGGTATTTTCCTCGAGAGTTTCGAAGAACCATCTGCTGTGCAATCTCTGTGACAGCTGGTGATTTCTCTTTGCATTTGGTAGTTATTTTTTCTTCAATACTTTCGGAGAACCATCTGTTATGCAATCTATGACAGTCGATGCTTTTTTCGAATTTCGCGAGAAAGGAAGGCAAGCAAAGTCAAACAAGCATATAAACAAATATAATTTATTAAAAAAAAGTCATCCTTTTTAATATTATCCTAAATAATAAGTAGTTACTTAAACATACATTGTCTTTAAGATTATGTTACAATCACAGTTAATATATGCTTTCTTATGCTGCCTGTGGAATCTTCGGAGCCGTGACAGTCAACACGCCATCGGAAGACATTGCGGAAGTCACGGCCTCCATGTCCATTTTGCCTGGGAAGTTGAAACGTCGACAGAAGCTTTTCATGGACTTGAAGTCGCCCTCTTCCTTTTCCACTCGACCTTCCACCACCACCTGATTATCTTCCACTCTGACCTTAACGTCTCCACTCTTGAAGTCATGGACATCTAGTACAACCTGTATATAGAATCGAGTAGTATTTATTTTACTAGTTTTTTGTCTTTCATTTTTATATTAATATCTAAATACTCTGTTTGCGTGGCCTGTATTTCTTAAACCTAATCTTCAATCTGAAAAGTTTTTTAAACATATTTCTTTTCATGTAAATAAATGTTTAAATTATTAGTTTGCGAACAACATGGATTTTAGATAGTAAAACTAACCTTATGATGGTGGTCGTCTTCGCTGAAGGCCATGACATGGTTCCCCTGTTGGAGATTGCGATCTCTTACACGTCTGTAGCTACTCATCAGATCACTCACGGACTTGGTTTCTCCCCAAGTGTCCAGGATTGGTCGATGGCTGTCTCAAAGTGCTTCCGAATATCCTCGAAGAAGGAATCGTGGAAGAAAAGTCCCTTCTCAGCAATGGGGAGAAGTGAATCCTCTTTGCATTTGGGAGCTTCTAGTTTCTGTTCAGCACTAGTATTTTTGTTCTCCATATTTCTCTATCGTTTATCGCTTCAATAAAGTAGAGTAAGACTCGTGGAAATGTAGATAAAGCTACAGCTTGCTTTCTCTCAACGAGTGTTCTTTCCGTTGTGTCTTGCGAGAGGCGACTGCTGAGGCTTTTCTGTGGCGCGAGTTGGGTGTGCGCCCACTTTCCACCTCTTTCTGGACGCATCACTAAGGCACTCTTGGCAACATCTTCATTCGAAATCTCGTGAAACTTCATGTTCTCAACTTAATTAAGATGATTGCTTTCGGTACAAGCTTGCGAAAGGAATTAAATCTATTTGTGTGAGTTTATAAATATATTCCATCATCTATATGGTCATTTTTATATAGAAATAAGAAATACGCGCATTTACACACACACACACACACACATACACACACAACACATACACACACACATAACCTCATATATAGCGATATGCATATGTATATAGATATTGAATACAAATAAGCACATACATACGTACACACAAACACATAATGGGCCTTTTTGAGGGGAAACGCGAGCAAGCCATGGTTTGGTTTGGTTTGCCTCACCTTGCCGAATTCGTCAAAAACAGACCCAGCTTCCAGCTTGCTATCAATGTAAACAAACGCCCGCAATACGAGATATGAGTGACAGAATCATTCGCAGAAGGAAACAGAGTGGCCTCTGTTAGTAATGTTAGTGAAATTACCGACGAAGAAATCTTTTCATGTCGTGTTTTTGCATTAATGAAAAAGATAAACGAAATAAGAATTTTAAAATATCTACATACTGTGCCGCACAAAAGTTATGGAAAAAGAAAAGTAAATCGTCCACACACTTTAAAGCAAGACTAAAAGGTTATTATCTACTACTCATAACAAAGATGTGTCTTCCAAACTGCGAGTTTAGAATGGATATAACATGGGTAAATAAAAGCGCACTTCGAACATCCCAGGATAGGCATTATATATTTATAAATACCTAGT